TTAGATCCAACCTTTTTAACAGTTAGTTCATGAGTCGACTTTATGCACAATGCACAACAGCCCTTGACTTTCATTACATTCAGATACTAGATAGGAAAAGAATATCTGGATTTACAACGCCTTATAGGATGTTCAGGTCCTTTATACTATGAAACAAAGTCCTCTTAATTTTATAAACCTGTTGTCCTACTCCTCTCTCTGCTCTGCTGAGCATGTAGTTCTGCAGCCTGCATGTGTGGTCTTCACGGGCCACAGGTAGGTCACAGATCCCTTTCTTGAAGATTGTTCTGCATTTTGCTAACTAGCATGCTGAAAATAGTTGGTAGTAGCAAGCGAGGCAGAATTGGCTTCCCACCATTTTCCTCTTAGTATTTTTATTCAGAATCTGTAGATATCTTGAATAAATTATAAGCAGGCAGATCAGGAAGTTGAGAACTTTTGTTTTCTAATCTTGACATCTTTTTGAGACAATGATATATTAAAGAATTTTTCAGTGAAGATTGCCTTTATTATCTCACTTTCCACTTTGAAATTAACACTAACAGTTCAGTCTTGTTAATCTGCCTTCAGTTGTTTTCTCTTACAATCTGAATAACTTGTTTCCTGAGTAGATACTATGCAAAGTTTTATTCTGCTTTCTACAGAATCGTAAACTTGCAATGTCACAGGACCGCAGTATTTTTAACTGTATGATTTATAATGTAGCATATGCAACAGCAGTATTACTGCTGTCAGTGATGGAGCTTCTCTGATGTGGGAGTTATGGTGGAGTGTAAAAAGACACGAACTGTAGGTGCATATAGCTGTGATTTTGATGTTTTAAGGAGGCATTTGGCTTATTTTGTTACATAACGGGACTTAGTTTCAGAAATTTTTTTTTAAATGCATGCACATTCACTCCTGATATTGTACTGTTTCTCTGTACTGTAGACTGGATTAACACTTGCTGAAATTATTACCATTAACAGCTGTCACCGATCAAGAGATAAGAATAGCAATTCTTTTCAAAATGAAGGCAAATTCAAGGCTATTTAGAAATTTGACATATCTGAGTAGAAAAGCTTTGTAGAGTATTGGTTTACAAAGAGGTATGCTCAGGTATATGTGTGAGAGAAATTACATTATAAAATAGACTGAACCAGACCTACTGTGCCTCTAGAGAAAATCTTAGCCCATGTTCTAGGGTTTAGTTTGACCTCAGTCTTATTTCTTGAAGTGTGGTACAGAGCAAAAAAGTTACAGTTTCCCTGTAAATGGGAAAACTCTCTTGGTCCATTTGATTTCTTCAGCATTCAAGAGTGTAGGGCAGGCATCCATATCAAAAGACAACGTTTAAGTGGAATACCTTAATTCTGCAGAGTTTTGGGAAGAAGAAAGCGTTACCAGTTAACAATGGGGACTACCAAGAACCTTTTGTTTTCCATTGCAAAAACTGATCCTATGAACTTGTACCTGTGCGCAGGTTTACCTGTTTTGTAAGGTTCAATGACTGTGGATTGTCAGAATTTTACATCAGCTGTATTCCTCTTCTGACAGCTGTGAGTATGGAAAAAAGTTGGGATAACTTTAGAGATTTATTTAAAATCTGTAATCAGAGCTTAGGAGCAGCTCTTCAGTTTCTTTTACTCAATGGTAAAGTATTTGTTAAGAGAGAGAAGCACTGAGAGCCACGGCGTAACTGGATGTTAATTTAATTTGCTGAGTATTTTGCCTAGAATTCACTGGACTGTGTCTTAATGCTTTTTATGTGCAGTATAAATGTTAGTGGGACAAATACTTTTTTACGTGTTTTGGTGGCAGAATGTGCTGCACAGGCTAGTGTTGCATATTTTCAGTGAACCTGTAATACTTTGCCTTTCAGCATTGATTTCAGAGATGCTAGTTCCCACATTCTGCCTCCTGTGTCCCCCTTGTCTTGGAAGCCTGCTGTCAATATACAACAAATTTTTTTTCTCAAGAATGTTACCTTAAAAAATAAAAAAAAGTGAGAGAAGAAGCTATGTGAAGGCTTGCCTTTGGGTGAATTTCTGAACCGTGTCTTCTAGGAGATATCATTTCCTTTGTTCCAAATGCATAGTCTCAGTGCTTTGCTGAGGAAGGGCAAAAGCGCTGCCGTCAAAGAAGAACACTTTTGCATGGATTTGTCATTTATCAAAGAGCAGTTATCCACTGGTGTTCACAAGTAGTTCATAATTCTCTCTGAGTAGACAAGGTTTTTGTGGGTTCATATTCTTCGTCTGACAAAATATTTGTAACACTTCTGCCAAAGGCAGTGTTTTTCAAGGCTTAGCTTTCCTAGTGCCAAGGACTCTTTAGAAGCAGAGATTGTGGCCTCCAAAAGCCAAGTACTAGTAGGCATAAAAGCCTACTGTGGCAGTAGAAAAGGCTTTAAAAACTTTTATATTTGTTCACACAAGTGTTTCAGTGTAGAAAATTCTGCCTTTAAGCTTCATTAACTTCGTAAGACTGCAAACTAAGAGTCCAATGTTTTGTGCAGTTAACTTCTAAGACAACAAGCATTAAGGTTGAAATACAGATTGCTAGCAAAAAAAAAAAATTAAAAATTGGACTTTAACCCAAGAACAAAGTACTGTGAGATCCCTAGCTCTGAAGCACTCCAGTGTAACCCTAGATTGAAGTTTAAATGTGCCATTCAAAGAAAAATGCAAAATCCTTTGAGCAATGTGCAAGTGGCTGAATTGGCCTATAAAAAAGGAGTAATAACTATAAGCTGCAAGACAGTGATGCCTGTACCATGCTGCATCTCTAAAATCCTTCAGCACTGGTCCACCTGTTGAGGATGGATGCAGTGATAAAACTTCTGCTAAATCACTGCTGAGAATTTTTCAAAATCCCACTCTCTTAATACACCACAAACAGTGTGATGTAATGAAATATATATTGTGGTATGCAGGGGTGAGATCTGAGTAACAAAATGTGGAATATTCCTGAGGACTGAAATCCAGGATTCTGGGAAATGTGACTTGACTTTCCAGTGCATGCTTTCCATCAAATGTTGAATATGTTCAAGTCCAACATTAAGCAAGTGTTTAAACAATGGATATGGTGCTTACAGCGGTTCTTTCATGCACAAAAGATACGAGTCCAAATGTTAATACAGAATATGTCATTTAAATGGAAAACAAAGAAGCTCTGTGATTCATTACAGCATGAACACTAGCTCGTCTTTATAGTTGTTCTTTAAAGCTCATAATCATCAAATTTTATACGATACATTTGAAATAGCACAGACTGAATTCCAGAGTTGCTTTCACAGAAGATCCTACGGGCTTGTACAAGAATTGCATGAATTACTTCACTTTGCAGTGCTATTGGTTGCAAAATGCTAGATCTGCAACATACGATTTTAATGACTAATTAAGTATTAGATTTCTGTATGGCATCTCTGCAGTCATCTGAACTCTCTGTCCCCAAAGCATCCATTGCTCTCTGCTTTTAATTTGCATTGGTGAACAAAATTAATGATAAAATTTACCACCATTGTAAATTTAACTTGGTTTACTGTTGTGGATTGCAGCTTTTCCTGTATTCCAGACTTTGTTTTCATTCAACTTCACAGCAAATCCACTGACTTACTATCCCATTACATGTTTACAAAACCTTTGTTACTGCATCTCTTGTTCAGTTCTAGTGAGACACAGTTCGCATTACCTGTTTTGATTCATATATGAGAGAAACAATCAGAAGAGTCAAGAATAAAGGGCTGCTTTATTTATAACAGGTTGTATTGTTGCAGGTGGTGTGGTGTGTTTGCGTGTGGGTGCAGTGTGCTGTGAAGAGCAGCCCGTTCATGCTGTGCACACAGAATCTGTTAGGGATGTAGGGATGTAGGCTTGCAGCCTGCCCTCAAACTTGGCATTCTTCTAAAAACCATGATCTAGTCTGATCCTGTGCCTTGTAGGTTCAGGGAGAATGCGGTTTCTGCGGCGAGTGGCTGTGTGGCAGGCAGAGTGAGTGACATGTGCTTGAATAGGAAATTGCAGAGGATTACAAATAGCAGTCTGTTGTCTGAATGTTTTCCACATTTGTCATCCAAGCAGAACCTTTAAGATTCAAAGTAAATTCAAAATTTTTCTTTAAATAATCAGTTTTAATTTTTCTGGTAGTGTTGTGGTGGACTGTGCTGTTAACTTAAAACTTGCCATCTTATGCACGGATTATTCATTTTTTAAAAGTGGAGACAAATTAATACTAGTGTTTAAAGTCATTGCGAGACTGCATTCAGTTAAAGATGCTTTTTGTTTTGCTTAGGAAAGTAGGAGTGGCTCGTGAGAAACACCTTGACCAACTAGTCCTGATGTCTGTAAATTCTTAGAGGTCTTAGTGAACTTCTTTGATTTGTTCTGTCTTTTTAATGTAATCCAGAAAGTATTCATCAGCACAAAAACTTCAAGCACCAGAATAAGAAAATAAAAATAGATATGGCTGTTATTGCATCCTTAAAGCAAAGCCACTGTAGTTCCTGTACAATTCTTAAAAGTGCTCTTTTTTTTTTTTTTTTTTTTTTTTCCCCACACCTAAAAATTTTCGAAGGAAGAAAAAAAA